GAAAATTAGTAGTTTCCCTACAACTTAATTCATGGCCCGATCCGGTTTACGTAACTTTCAGTAATTCGCTTACTGCACTATTTGACAACCTTTGAGGACAGAAGGACTCTTTGAATAACAGTCGCCTTTGTACTTTAAAATGCTGGAAGTTAGTAGTTCCCCGGATAGTATAACATCGATTTCAACGTCTTATTTTATACCCTACTGAGTGTATTTTGTTTAAACGTTTATTTTTTTAATTCTGTGATTATTTTACTTATCTAGATTTATAACTATTTGGGTATTGATAGATTTCTAGCAAACATTTTCAAATATAGAAACCGTTATTATTTATATGCAATAAATATATTCGATCTTTGGGGGAGGCCTATGCCCAGCAGTAGGCGTCTAATGGCTGAGAAGAAGAAGAAGAAATATATTAAATTATTCAAACTTTCGTGACATTATACTAAACTGATATATAAAGACGGCTAAACACTCACGTATATTCGCTGGTGGCGGCACGACAGTAAGCGACGGCCCGCGTCCGCGAAATAATACCAGTACCACTCATCCTGATGAAGGTCCCCCGATGGGCTCGAAACTAGTCGGTGCCGCCACCGGACGAATATACGTGAGTGTTTAGCCTTGTTTATATATCAGTTAAGAAATATATTCCTTATAAAATTATGTTTTAATGTAGTAAATTGATGGCAAATGTAACCGAATTTTTCACCACAGAAATAAAATATTACTTGAATTCTATAAATTCAAATAGATGTAAATCTAAGTAAGAAATCTAAGCAACATTTGTAAAACAAGCAAGTTTGTGTTCTGATATCTTTTATCTGCGGATTTTCTAAACGACTTGACTTCTGACGTTGAAATACAAACGTTACACAGGACAAGATAAGAGTTTTTTTTAAGTTTAACATTTTTGTAAAAAATTACAAAAAGGATTGTTCGGTAATTTATAAGGGTCACTATGACTATATCCGATTGTTTGAAAAGCTGAATAAAAACTAAAATTAAAAATTTCGTCGTGGTCTCAAAGGTTTTTTAAATTCGAAAAATTCGAAAATGGCTCCATAGCCGAATTTCCGAGGCGGAAATGACCGAGGGGTCTGTCCGTCGCCGCTCGCCCCCGCCGCCCGCCACCCGCACTCACCGGAAGTGCCGTCTCTCACTGCTTCACTAACATTTTGTTGTTGCCTTTGCCTTTTTCACGATTAACACTTTTTATTCAAACAAAATAGCAATCTAATATGGATCAATTTAATTGTCTTTATTAGCTAAAACTAATGACTATTTAAATGCAATTTTCTGCTTAATTCACTACTTTAGAACACTCAAAAGAAATTTTAACATTCTCGACCTGCTTACTGCTTCTATTGTTTTGTTAACAAAGCAACTAATCTGATTCTCACTGAAACGAATATACTTGGGGTACATGAAAAATAAAAACAAAAGTAGCTCGCTGGCCGGCACTTGTTTGAGCTGAGTGGATCTAATTTAGCTTCATTGTATTACAATGGTCGAGGTTCTTATGTAAATTTAAAAAGACCGACCCATTTTAAGTGGATAACAATGTCAAAATGAGAACTTGAGCAATAAAAAAACATTACATAAAGGTTAGTCCAACTCGAGGGAAATACATGCTTGGAGAAACTTTTTATTTGTATACATTTCTTGGTAGTATAGTCAGTTTCTTATGTTATCCAGAAATAGTATGACATTAAGTCATATTATATATATCTTACAAGGGACCGATGTAGAATTAGAACTTCGGCAAATCCCTCTACACATCAACCTTCCTTACTTGGTAAGCTGGGTTTCGTCATTCAGTGTCTGAGAGCCTAGGACCGCTATTATTTAATATTTTTTTTATTTTTGAGAATATTTTATGTTTTAACTCAATATTAACACCAAAGCAAAAGTTTTTTTGTCTAGACTGTTTGTTCGTTTGTTTGTTTTATTTTGAATTATAGTTTTCGGACTACTAAACCGATTTGTATTTTTTCAGCGTTGGGAAGCTATACTATTTCTGGGTGACAAATATTTATTACTGGATTTTTTTCCGCACAAAGTGACAGGCAAATACTAGTTATACATAAAATATTTAAATTATAAATACTAGTAACATAGAAAAGAGGACAAAGAAAACTACCTCGAGTCATTACACTAATACAGCTCAAGATAAATGGCAACAATTGCAGCCGACAGAGGTCACTCTTGTAGAAAATAACAAGCATTTTTATTATAAAATGCTTGATTTGAGAAATCGTTTGTTCAGTTATATCACCTAATGAGAGAGAGATTGATCATACTGATATTGTAAAGGCCAGAGTTTAGATGGATGTATGTTTGAAGGTATTTCCGGAACGACTCAACAGTATGTACTCCTCTCTCGCATCTCTATCAACCGTCATATCTGAATTCACTCCCTTCTTACGCATATCCTCTTTCACAATCCATCCATTGTTTTACTGTCATGTAATTAATTACATTATTCTTCTATATTTCAAACGTGTAGTGTATGCATAAACGTAGTGTTGTTTGTCTCGAGCGTACACGCCATAAGTACATGCCGGAGAGGGGGGACGTCAGTTGATGTCAGACCTTTGAGCCGGCAACACGTGTCGGTACGTGAACGAGCCAAATATAGTACAACGAATGCTACAAAACACAAAATCAAATATATTAAGTTACATGTTGGTAGGTATCAATTTGTAGACAATTTCCAAAGTCAATCAATTAAAGGGCAAACAACAAATTAGCAAGCGAGCTCCTCAGTCCCGTAAACAATCCGCGCGCTCAGACGGCTGACATTTATTGAAAAACTTTATTTAATACCAAAAGTACGAACTTCAGTAAACTTGGAATTGACATTCGGCACAGGTAATTTTGCCAATGTAATAGAACATTTAGCGACGGCGAGGGAATCAAAATTAATCTATCTGCATAGAAACATTTAAAATGTTACATATATAGACAAAATATTTAAGAAATTGACAAGACAGTGCGTTTCTAAGTATTTCTTCACAATTCCAAAACACAAACATTTTTTTTAGATTTCAATTAAGTATTATTATCCATTGGTTTTTAAGACCAAAATATTCGTGTAAAACATAATGCTATCTCCTTTTTGTCAAAGATGAAACAAAAGGAGGACGATATGTTTTATACAGAGATTTTACTCTTAGAAACTCAAGTCTAGTACACAGACAAACTCAATGTAGCGTTATTATTTTCGTAAAAGCTTATTGTAACCCTAACAATAAACATCAAAATATCTAAGTAGCACCGCACCGTTAAAGTACCAGTTACAGTCATAGGTAATGCGGGTAGGAGTTAATATTTACCGTGGCAAGTGATAATTGCGGGTAGTCGGTGCTCGGCGCTCGGTAGTTGGTGACGTCACGCGCGCCGGGAGTGCTGAGCAAATATTTGAGCGAGTTTAATTAAATCGAAATTACTTACCACATCCCTTGGGGGAACACTTCGTTAGTTTAAAGTGTCCCAGTAAAATAATTAATTTACGTATCCAATGATAGTGAAATCAATTTTTTAATTTAGATTTTTAAATTAAATTAATGGGAAAAATGTTTTATCATTTAGTATTTAATATTTTATTTATCTAAAGCTTTAAATTTAAATTTAGTTTTTCGTGTAATTTTCTGTAATAAAGGTTGACGTTCATTAGTCCAGTCTTCACCAACCCGGAAAAATTGTCGCCACCTCGCCGCCGCCGCCTAAACGTCGCCGATTGAGATGAAGATGTTTTGTTAGCTAAACGTTATTTCATTGTCGCTTGTACGGGTGGACGCTGCGTGGTCCACCAGGTCGGGCAGTTCTGTGCCGGGTAGATATGGAGCTTAGTAATGCGTGTTAACCTTAAACCTTATGTCTTCATAAAATAAGCACGAATCAGATTTAGAATTAACTTAATAAATCATCAACTAGTAACACAAGTAAAGAAACACACAAAATTTATTACCAACTTTAACCGAGAGACTTTTTTTTCGGTTTAAAGTACGTTTGTGGCGAGCGTTTCCGAACCGGAAATGAACGAGAGCGGTCCGCGTACTATCAGAAGTCAGATGTCACTCAACGGAAGTTCAACCACTTTCTATAACCCGCTCCTGACTCACTAACTGTAATTACTTTTTTATCATTTAGTTGTATTAAAAACATAAAACATATAAGAAATCATTGATGACGTCATATGATACCAACAAAATCCTACAGGAATTCCTTCTAAATTTGTTTAAGCTTATTAAGTAGTCTAGTCATTTTATAAGGCTTAATGTTTGTTATAATATTACAAAATCTCTTCAAGTGCTCTGATTTCTGATGGTAAAGTAATAATAAACTGATATTATCAACTAAACTTAAAAACATATACCGTTACAAATCATATTTGTTTTTTTACGCACGAAAACGTATTACCAATACGAAAATGCGGCGGATGTCGAGCACTCTGTGCGGAAGTGGGCATATCTGCCCGGTGGCCGCTACCGGAACTCACTTCTGCGCTACCGGCTAAAATAAAAAAAAATACTTTTTTCCATTTTCCTTTTTACCAAAATGAACATTATATCGTGATAAAGAAGGAGTAATTACGAATATTATTTCGATAGTCATTGTTCGATGAAATTTTAAAAAAATATATTCACCAAAAATAAACCAATTTTTATTGATTTGCAATATTAAAACATTTTCATACATATTTATTTTAACATAAGTACCTATTTTATACAACTACAAAGTAATGTTTATCGTTTATTAATTAAACAATTAACTTTACACTTGCACAAATAACGTTTCAAGTTATTCTAACAATTTACCTCGGAATTTACACATTTTTTCAGCTAAACTAACATACTTATTGCTATCGCTAATTTATATGTCAATAACATATTCATTAATAGTCAACATAAAGTACATATATTGTCTTACAATTAAAAAAAAAACAAAAAAATAATATAGGTACATACATCTAATGTATTCCTTCCAACTATAAAAATTTGCGTCAGCTTCACACTTGACTTTTAAAATTATAAAATGTAAAATACACACAATAATATCTCTATCATTATTAACATTTATGTATCTTGTTATTGCATTGTATTTTTTGTAACGTATGATGATATTTGTACATCAGGATCACCCAACTCTTCAGCTTGACGCACCGTATCTGGTAATGCTTGGTTTGAAATATCCGGCACAGTGATTGTGAGTAGACCAGCGAATATGGAAACTAAACCGAAGATCAAAGGCGGAAAACCCGACCAATACTCCATCTGGAAATATATTGATTATTATAATTCATAATCACATTTACCATTCAACAGTTACAAAGTCCTGTCTTAACAAATCATCAAACTGTTCCCCGCTGGTATGTTTGTAGGCATGTGGCGCCCTCTTGTTCATAATAAAACTAATCTTACTAATAATATAAATGCGAATGTTTGGATGGATGGATCTCGCTGAACTTGTCTTAGATGTAGAACATAGTCTGGAAGACATAACAACTGCATATGCAACTGCGTATGTCTATGGGCAACGGTCACTTCGCTATATCAGCGATTTCAGGTGCCCGCTCGCTCGTTTGCCACCTTACGTTATAAAAAAGATCAGGCTACTAAATCAGTTTTTTTTTGTTCCAAGCGGACAGACTCGCGGGCTACAGCTAGTTTAATAATAAAGCGATAAAGTAGAATAAAAAATATTAAATAAATAAATCTAAACCCTATTTCTATTAATAACTATTCGAGCCGACTCTTTGCAAAATTCTAAAAATATAATATATTTTTAATTTTTATGCAAATATGTTTATACTTTGGTAACCGGTTGTAGGCTTAATTGCTGAATCTATTTATAAGTGTGTTATCAATCTATTTCTATACTGCCCTACTGGTATATAAAAAACATTATTAAGTTACCAGTAAAGGCGTCTGTGGAGCAATGATTGCTCCAATTCTTCCTAAAGAGGAACAAAGCGCGTGCATTGAATTTCTTGTCAAAGTCGGATACAGTTCCGATGTATACAAGTATGTTATTCCGAAATATAAGGAAGTCATCAACTTCCCGATCATGTAGAGTAGTATTGACAGCCATGACAGATCTAAAAATGCCAAAGATTATTAAATAGATAAGATAGTAAATGTAGGTCAGGTATAGTTAGCGAATTCATAAGACAAAACATATGTTCGCTCTCTTGCCAGTGTACTAACCCACTAAAATGTCGACGTTTGGTTCCCTCACTATTCATTCTGACACTGGACTTTGTAATCAAAGCACGTCATTCGCGTCAAAGGATTCTAATTAATAATGTCTAAAAGTAGAGATAGTAAATTTTGTTACTAAACTAAAAAAACAATCACAAATTAAACTTACTTTTCGGTACAAAAGGTTGTGATATACACAATACTGCAGCAGCAAAGAAACAACTCATCAAGGGATATTTCCTTCTAAATCTAATCATAATAAATGTCATCATAAACATTCCCAATGCTTCAACGATGCCCAACAATGCAAAATTAACATACTTGTTTCCGTACAACGTTACCGCATTTATTGACATGCCGTAGTTCACGAATGTTGATGTCGTCCACCAAACTAAACACACGAAAAATCTTTTACGTAGCAACTTCGATTGAAATGTTGTCTTAAGTACATTTAGATAAGCTGTCTTTACAAAGTCTTCACAAACAATGTTTTCCACAACATTCTTCTCTATCAGTACATTATTTCTTCTTACTGCTTTCTCTAAAATGGAGGTTGCTTTTGCCTTTCTCTTTTTTATAAGTAACCATCTAGGGCTTTCGTCTAAGAAAAATATGTATAATACGTAAAGAAGACAGGGTGCATAGAGGATACGTAAATATGTCTTCCAGAATGGAAACAGCCAGGCAACTAAGGCGGTCATGAATGTGCCAAATGGGTGACCCAGGATACACATCAACGTAAATATAATTCTCTGATTACCAGACACTATTTCCGTCACTGAAACAAAGTGGATTATGAATTATAAACCATTATTTGCCTTTTCTAACTAAATATTAGGTGTAAAATACACCAAGATTCTTACTTAAAATGTAGCAAGGCGAACAACAGTCACCAATAGCAGCTTCCAGGAATTCTAGTGCGCAGTAAAACCAATACCAGGGTGAAAAACTTTTCGCTACACCGAAAACACCGCCAAGTGTACCTGTCACCACGAGCACATTCTTTCGGCCGAACCTAAAAAATTTATGAACGAAATAAAAGAAAATCACAATTTAAATAAAGAATTTAAATTTCGAATCCAAAACCAAGCTGTCAAATAGAAATATAACAGATCATGAAGTAGTTATACCTGTCAGATAAAGGTCCCACAATCAATAAGCCCGCCATAATCCCCAAACTGTGCATAGATCCCACAAGAGTCCGCTTCCATTCCTGGTTAGCTAGATTGTACTGAAAACAGTGACAATATTAATTTGTTTCTACGCCAAATTCCACTCAAATTGCTTATCTTTAAATCATAAATGCTACCAAATTTAAAATTAAGATCATCATTATCATCAACCTACCTTTATCCCTACGCAGAATCGGCACAGGATGTCCATACATCTATATCAGTCGTCATATTTGAATCTACACCCTTCCTACGCACACCTTATTTCACACAATTCATCCATACTTTCTTTGGTCTTCCTCTACCTTTGTACCCGTCCACATTCAATCTCATTACTTTTATGTTTATTCGATCATCATCCCCCAAATACTATTTCCAAACCACGCTATCCTTTTGCTCTTAAAATTAAGTTTGAAATGTAATTAAACGTTTTACCTCGGCCACAAAACTATATGGATCGTCATATTCCCACTCCGCGCAAATATTTGATGTATTATCGATGTAATGTTTGCATCTGAAAAGATTATTATTATCACTAACACCACTTCCAGTTCAATGTAATTTGCCTTTAACTAAAGAAGATACTATGCTAAAGATGATACCACTTCCAGTTCAATGTAATTTGCCTTTAACTAAAGAAGATACTATGCTAAAGATGATACCACTTCCAGTTCAATGTAATTTGCCTTTAACTAAAGAAGATACTATGCTATATTAAAATACACTCAGAAAATGACGACAAGCTCCAAAACCTTTAACAATTTCTACTTTTTATTCAGAACACACCTATTGTCTTAAAAGATGTGAAATATTTAATAATTTTATATTTTGAAATCTCTAATAAGAATGCGACAATGATAAAATGTAATATTATTTCTTTCTCTCAATTAATCTTAATTTCAACAATATTATTTTATACATCACTAGTTGTTGCCTGCGACTCCGGCCGCGCGGGATTAAAAAATCGATAGTTGATTCTCAGACATAGAAATAGGAAGGTTTCGAAGGAGTATGGTAACTAACATTGTGACATTTAAATAAGATTTTCTAATTAAACAATATAAAATTACCTGTAAGCAACCTTCTCAGTGACGAAAATAAAATTAGTATTATGTATTGTATTGAAGGCGAACGATATAAACAATAAAAAAGCAACTTGCAAATGATAACGCTTGTATATTTTTAACTTCACCAATACACTTTCTAAACTATTTTCTTTGATATCACTAACAGCCTTCATTTTAAACACTAAATTTTAATTCTAAAACTGCACAAACTTGATAATAATATTTTACGAATTCAATAAAACATTACGTATTATAAAACATAGCCAATCGCACGTAAAAATCGTTTTTGCACGTTTTCAACGACTATATTGTTAGCGTTCAGCCTTGTCAATTCTTCGCAACGTATGTATATTTGAATGTGGTTTTATGAGATAAAAATAATACCTCACGTGGATGAACTACTGTGATAAAGAAACTATCATATTATAGATGTATTATCCTAATGTTGTTTGACGAGAATCTTTTTATTATAATTCAAGTTTTGTTTGATACCTCAAATTTTCCTTATGCAGTTCGTTAACATGTTAATAAGTATGTGTAAATAACAACAGAGTACTGTAATCCAAATATTGATAAATTTTGATAAGCAAAAATTCCAGTTTGACGTAATGAAATGTAATAGAAGCTCTTCCTTACTTTCGGCGACACATAATTCTATGTAAATTTTAAAGAGTAATCCCTTTAGAAGCGCTATTAAGTAAAGTATTCCAGCAATTTATTGGAAAGTCATAAAACTCGTCCCGGATTCGAGCGATCTGCATATTTTACACTTTCTGACAAGTTATTAAAATTATTTCTATGGAAGTTTCGAGTGCTGGGGTTATACTGAATCTGCTTTGCATTATACATAAGAACAATTAGTTTTACTCATTTTAGAGATTACAACTGAAATGTCGAGCGAAATTGATAAGTTATGTTTAATGTTACAAGCGATAAAATGTTTTTACGCCTTGATAATAGATGGCGGTGTTCTCTTCTGTCTACATATTGATAACGTTCTCTCCCTAAATAATATCCTAGCGATACCTCTGTGTCGGCTATACGTTAAAGATTCATCACGTTGGCTTCTATTACATTCCCAAATATTATAAGAATAAAAGACACAACTTTCACGTTTATCGCTGGACTAAGTAAACTAAATTTTAAAGACCTCAATTTCAGGATATAACTTAAAATTAGGAACGAAATCGACGTTGGTTTTTAACCGAAACGATTTTAGTTCATTTATTGCAGCGATATCTTTTTCATCATTTCTCAAAATGATTAATAATAAGCGAGAGTCAAATATTTATTTCTATTACGTTCAATTGAAATATTTTAAACATCTCAATACTCTGTTAAAATGTTTTCAAAATGCGTACATGAAACAATGATGTTTAGCCAAGTATTGCCGGCAGCGGCATGTCCGTGACAAAATTTCATACAGCAATGTGCGTGTAATGATAATACATGACTAAAACCTCGCTTAAATATATGAATAAACTTATTAGTTGTTATTACAAGGTTACATTTATGAAATGAACTCGTTTAAATAATTAGTTGCGGCCTAGACTTGAGTAATTATAATAACATAGTCGATGTCTATTTCTTCTATAAGCCACTATCGATTGAAATATAATAAATCCATAGTCAATGTTAAATAGCTAAAAAGGTATTAAAGGCTAAATTGTTTTACTTGGCAAAGAGGCTTCTTACATATTTTAAGCCAATGTATCACATCATCGTCTCACTGTCCCTATCCCACTTACGTAGGGCCAGCGCCTCATTTTCTTCTTCCATATCGATCTATCTTTCGTCATCTTAGTTGTCAGTACCTTCCTGATCATGTCATCGTTCACGCAGTCTATAAATCTCTTTCTAGGCCTACCTCTATCGGTACACCTATCCACCAAACGAAAGTTCTGTAAAACAACATTTACGTATATGGTGTACATATATTTGTGTCTGAAAACTCAATAGCATTTTTGTACTATGTCAATTAACGTCAATTATCATAAAATGAAGTATTTTCGTAGTCAAACCCCATTAGGAGCTATTATTAATTCTAACAACTTATTACATCATAAATAAATACCAAACAGCTGTAAAAGCCAGCTTACAATCAGCTACATATTAATTGTTAACGTTTATCAATTATTGTCTATTTCTCACACGAAAAAACGAGCACAGTAGCACGTTTAAAAGATAAAAAGTGTCTGATTAAGGTCGTTATGGATATGTTTACGACGGAAGCCTTATCCATAGTATTGCAATGAAACATTGTATCAAAGAAGCATGTATAAAGAATAATAAGAAACCAGCTGTTTTGCACGAACTCCAAAGTAAGTTGACACATGTATATCAAGATATTAATATAGACAAATATATTTTTGGTCCACCATTTATGAACAAAAGGATTTTTTGTAAAAGAAGACACATGTCGGCGGGAAGACTTTGATGGTGCCCATGAACACCATCACACACACACAGCAACACCAGACAAAGTTAATAATACAATAAATATCCAAATAAATTGTTTTTTTTTCCTAATCGACACAACGGGAAACACCCAATAAATTCAATGCATAATATCTGAAAACAATAAGAACGTATATTTGCGCAACTATAATTTCCAGGCGCTGATAAAATCTTTCCTTCTATTTTCACGTATAGAACAAACAAGTCTATTCTTTTAGAACAAATATATTAGTAAGACAACCAATCTATGCAGTAGCTCTTACAAGAATAGGATTAAACGGGAGACGACCTCACAGAGTACTAACGTGTTCCATCAAATCCGCAGCCTTTGTTTGTTTTCCAACTTTCCTTATGTATTTTAGCTTTCAAAGTAAATCTTTCTTAGATAAAATTGGTAACTGATTCAACAGTCAGATCATTGTAAGGTTTTACGTTAGCCATATGACGTCACATAAATTTCATTGTCTGATAACTTATTCAGAAAAAAATGTAATTTGCATTCGAAACTGATTATAAGACTCCAAGGTATAATGCATCATGCGGCAATGAAGCAAAAAAGGAAGTCAACAATGACGAGAATGACATACCAAAGGTCAAACGATACATTTACAGTTTCCATAATTGCTCATCGAAATTCTGTCACACTTTTTCATTGTATATTTTATTTATTCTGGTTCACTGAACTAGTTATTCTCAGTTTTGATTAGTCGTGTCTTTCGCGTGTTTATATCGTAAATAATAATATATAAATATTGTGATAATACTATAATATTAGGTAGGTTGTATGTAGTAATTGATATCTCATAAAGTAACGAGCGTCGGTGGCTCAGGGGTCAAGCACTTGACTAGCAATCTGTAGGTTCTGGGTTCGAATCCCGCCACGTACCAATGTGTTTTTCGATTTCCGATTTACATATCTACATTTATCCGACGTTCTTACGGTGAAGGAATGATATGTGTAAAGTCAACCAACCCGCAGAGGGCCAGCGTGGTTGACTATGGCCTAGTCACATGTGACTTTAGGTAGGCTCCGAGCCCTTAAGTGGGGACGTATCGTGAGTTAATGATGAAAGTAACGATGACATAATTTTAAACTTATGCTCATTATAAAGGTGACAGTTCACATTAAAAAATTAACTATTCTTAAATTGGTCCATTAACTTTTAAATAATGGGTCGCTAAAAATGGACGTCATTAAAAAAATCGATTCATTTTACAATAGTTTTTGAAGGTTAGGACAGTTCAGGTGAATGCAAGTCAAACATATTGTGACTGACACGAGCAATTATAGTTTCATTCATTCTGTTTTCGATGTTAAATATTTAACTCCCAGCTTAAATCTTCTTCAAAAAGTCGATAAAATCAAGGAGAGAATAGAAGTTGGCTTAAATTTAAGCATAAGCTGGATTATATTTATAGTTATTTATGTCTATAATATGATAAAATTAACATAAAGAAATGCATGATCTTTTCCCATTCTTATCATGTCATCTTATCGTGGTCATTTTTGTTGTCATGCCGAGATAAATGATCGAATGTTATCTAAAAGGGACTTTGTCATTTTTAGTACCTGAAGCAATGCATAGTGTTAAGAATGTATAAAAGGCGGCACATCACATTTCGTTTCATTGTTGATATCTGAATAAGCTAAATTACTAACAATGGATACAAAACATTACTAGGCCTTGCCGCGCCTAATACAAATCGACGCTAGTCCGATCTCTATACACAGCGGTATAATAGAAGCATAAAATTAAACATTCAAGAGATTATAAATCTAATATACAACAGAATAAGATTGATTTTAAGAAATATCTTTCGTTTCAAGCATCTGATGAAGTGATCGAGGTTTTTATTCGTGTTTCATTACACCTTACTTTTGCACGTACATTCAGTGTAGCGCACGTTGGTGAAGTTGCAAAAGGAAATAAAGAAACGAAATGAACAAGTAATCATTTATTAATAGATGTTAAATATTATTTGAAGTTTAATTAGATAGCAACTATGACAGCTGTTGTACCTACAGACGAGAAAAGAGTTGACTTAGAAGATGTATTGGATAAGTTTAGTATTTACAAAAGTTATCATCTGCAAATAGCCGGACTAATATTCCTTGGATTCGCAACGAATACAATGTTTTGTTCTAATTTTATATTTGTTGCAGAAGAAACCGGTTACACGTAAGTTGTTTTTATAATTTGTACAATCTCTTGAACTTAAGAGCCATTCAAGACATCGTTGTTTGTAAACAAGTGAAAAGATCTTCATTATTGTTATTTTCTGTATTTTAAGTTTAATTTTATGTTAATTTTTAATGTGGATTTCTTTACAATTTATAATGAAACTACCTGTCGCTCTCGACTTCGTCCGCGCGGAATTAAAAAAAAAACTTAAAAAGTAGCCTATGTGTTCTTCCAGATTATGATATACATCTGTGCCAAATTTCATCAAGAGCCGTTAAGGCCTTTTGGAGAGACCTTTAAACAAACGTCCATCCGTCCATCCATCTAAACATTCGCATGTATACGATTAGCAGATAACACTATGCCTTTACCAATTACTCTTTGTTTATTTTGTGGTTATGTTTTAAAATATTAATGTTTATTTTTTAAATTTCTATTAAAACATGATCGAAAAAACACCCATTTTATGAGGCGGAGTTTTTTATTAAATGCGTGTCCCTACTTTTTAATTTGTAATTGCTTTACGTCTTTAAATACTTTTGAATGAACTCATCTCTAGGTATTATTTAACTAACTATTGTATTTTAATTAGCAATAGTTATTCCTTAAATGTTTTAATCGACCTTTGTAATCAAGAGTTCAATAAAATAGGACACGCATCGAAGCATAAATCGTGTTTTTTAATGTCAAAATTCGAGCATTGACCAACATAAAAAACACAAAGAACGGGCAACAGATTTACGAC